AAAAAATTGGCTTCTTCTTCTTCTTCTCCCTAGCGTTAGTCCCGCGCAGTCGCAGGGTCCGCTGTTTTTGTCAGCCGTCGCCACTTTGCTCTGTCCAGGGCATCTTCCATCGTGGCCGCGACCTCACCTAGGTCCTTCTTGATTACGTCTTTCCACCTTTTCTTCGGGGCTCCTCGCGGTCGCTTGCCTTGTACTTCGAAGTCGATCGCTGTTCTTATCGGATGGTCCTGTGGCCTCCTTAGCACATGCCCATACCATCGCAGACGCTTTTCTCGCACCTTTAGTTGGACAGGGGCAGTCTGCATGACCGCTCTGACGTCCTCGTTTCTAACCTTGTCCATACCGCCTCCAGCCGCAGCCCCAGGTAGCGGTTGCGGAATGTGTCCATTGAGGAAACACTAAGATCGAGCAATGGAAGAGTGCATCAGCCTTGTTCATATAATCAAAGGACAACGCACATCCATTTGTATTCTTATCAGTTTCGTGTGCTCTCTTCATTATGAATCCCAGCCAATTTGCTATTTTTAACGCCTAGATTCCTACTTTCATACCTTTGTAAACGGGAGCTACCATAGGCGTAAGATTGCAATCTCCGCCAAGCTATGGTGGATGCTTTGCTGAATCGACGCCCAGCACTACATGCAAGCGGGGGGGGGGTTAGGGGAGCAAAAAAAAGTAGCACTCCCTCCATTACATTCGACGGTATTAATTATGTTTTGCCAAATCCGGAATGAATGAACCCAATTGACACTTGAAGAGCACATAGCAGTCTATCAAAAAAATAGACAACGTTTCTCTACACCCGACGACACCAGAAATTTTTCACGCAGAAACCCGGTGCGCGGTATGAGCTCAATAAGGTACCTGAATATCATAGACCATTACCTCATCTCAACGATGGTCAGAGTCTCCGTACATAACTATGTATTATCTAAGAAGCATTCACCAGTCGACTGATTGAATGAAATTATGTAGCAGCTTCAGGCTGCAGTGATTACGGTGGGTCTCCTTGAGTTCGACGTTAATGGCAGATGACGTCATATTCTGAAGACGGTGCAGGCAACGAAGGAGGGTCTGCTTGAGAGGATATCTAAGGGATATATTACAACAACTCTTTCACCAAAACGGAACCGTGCATGACGAAAAACTTCATGATGTGCGTCATGGGCCAAGTGACGCCTTTTTGGCCCTCCCCCTGTATATGAGCAACACCCTTGGCGGTCTGACGCCTACTTAGTTGCAATATAATCGGGGTAACTGATAGAGAACCGTGATGAAAACACATAACCAAGTGTCGAGTTTGTGACAAAGGGGAGTTGTGGGTAGATGAATACGTTTAGGAGCTGGTTTGTCCCTAAATCATTTTTCGGAAAAATTGATATCACCTTCACGGAGAGCCCTGATGTCAGCTCAGCATTTAGAGCTGAGTGGGCCATTCTATTGTGTGTCTCTGCTGGGGACTGCTCAAAAGTGTCACAAATGATTTGACAAGATTGGAGTAATTGATCACCACATCACCATCAAGTCCGACTACTGGGATTTATGAGGCGATTATAGAAAAATTAACAGACAACAGAGATTTTAGGTCTTACCAGAAAAAACTCAAGACTGTTGGACCATATACAATCACTTTGACAAGATCTCATGTGGTTCCTTGCTTTCGTTCTAACTATTAACCGAGGTGAAGCAGTGGCCAGTGGCGCCGCTCAGTACGCCTACGGTCTTGGTATCAAATCGCCGTTGTTCTCCATTCTTTGGTTTATGCGCTCATTGGAGGCAAACGGGATTATAGGGGTTTATTGTGAACACACGTGTTGAATCCTTTAATCTGCTTTAGTGACGACAGAACATTTCCTCGAAATGTACGTTGTAGACAGATCAAACCGTGGGTAACCAGCTTTGTACACTCATTAACACACTATTCTAGCCAGCGACCAAATGCCCTATATAAACAATGAATATCAGAAACGTTCCACTGCTTTTTCTCAATACATGCACTCTCACTGAAGACCATTCAATGTGTTAGGCATGCAGCTCTTAGTGCCGCTGAACAGCGATAACTGAATTTCCTTTTGCTATATATGAACAAAAGAAAATATTCTAGGTAAATCAAAGAAGCAGAAATGCGCGTGTTGCTCGTGCTGAATATTTTGGCTCTTGTGCTTGAGAGAGGATTTGGCCTATCACCAAAAGCGAGGGAGTCCCTGGCGAAGGTAGGTATGAACATCGCTAAAGTTGCAGTTTGCTGTGTGCTACCAGAGATAGTTTTGTAGATATTTCCTTGTTGACACCCAATGATCAGCGCAATTAGCACATTTCTTTCTAAATTATTTGGTTTACTCTAGAGATAAGTTTCAACTATTTCGATAACTTATTTTCTGAGAGAAACAACTTCGATACTCACTGGAAGAAGAGCTCCCTATGAGGAAACAATTTTCGGGCTGTAAATTGGTGGGGATAACTGTGGCTATGTATGATGAGGCAAGTAATTCATAACAGCAAATTGTCCTTCGAAACGAAAACCCTTACTCGGCTCGGAGATCTGGTATTCGAACGGCGGTGCTAATAAAGAGGTGAAGCTTCCGGCCTAAAGGCAGAGTGCACGATGAAAAGTTAGCCCATTAAAAATCAATGCAGAGGTGTTCACTGGTGCTGGCGCAATGAAATCCATTGGAAACGGCCCAGATCCCGAGAACGGAACAGCTTCCTTGCCTACTGATTTGTGCATTGATGCGACTCCTATGGGTGCTGCTCTCATCGAGCTAGCGCTCTTTTCTGCTGAACGGCTAGCTTCAGATGATGAGAAGGTGGATGTGATCGCGGTGCGAGGAGACGGCCATAGTAGATCGCCAAGGGCATATCTTCGCTGCTAATTGCGTGTCGGTCCGCACCCTTGGGTCCGCCTGTAATTCCGCTGCGTAAGTTTCCCCCATCTCCGACCTTCGACCTTATCATGAAATCTCCGTTAATTTGTGAAAATAACATCACAATACGTTGGCTCGCCTTTTTCAGGAGGGGGAAGGTAAGGGCGTTCGTATGCCAGTGACGACAGTAAATCTGTTAGGCACCTTTCTGCCTGCTGCTTTTCCCTGAATTCCATCCCTGAAATCCAAAGTATTGTGAAGAACTCACCATGTAACTCTTCGAGACACGCTAGAGAAGCGGCACTCCTCTGAGAATGTAGCGACATGCGGAAGCGATTTGGGCAAGAAAAAAACTTTCGGAGCTTAATATGCAGAGGGATGGATGAGTTACTTGTAGGCTAACAACAAACTGCGGTAGGTTCCAGAATCCAAGTATAAATACTAAGGTTTCAGGCGCTTCCTGGTGTGGATCTTGAAAAACGACACGAAAGACTGAAGCATTTGGGTGAATTGTTTTCCAAACGATACACTATCACGAGTGCTGACAATAAAACAGCAGCAGAGCTCGTAAAATCAGAACGGGCATGAAGAAGAGAGTCCAGAGGTAAGCGAAACGCGTATGTCTATTTATTTATATTTATTTTTAGAAAATAAGCATATGTATCATCGTATGAAGGGATCAATTGCGGTAGATAAACTCACGCCAAATTCAGCATGGATAAAAAAAGGATGAGCGTTCAGATTTTATTAATCTCTTTCTCCTACGCATTTTACCCTCGTTCAAAAACTTATGTAGCGACTATTGAAATGATGCCAATTCAACATGCCCGAGGGAGTGAAGGCTTTGTTGGAGTAGGCGGCCGACCTGAGATTCGATCTCTGACAAACATTTTGGCATTTCAAGTTACCAAATTCGTGTACCCACTCTCTCACCAGCTTGAGTAATTTCCGTTTGAGGAAATAACAATCGAAACAGGCAACACCTACTGATCGGACCATTGACGAAATCAATCAGGAAGAAGGCGTCAGTGACTACCTCTACGGTGGAGATATTGTCCTCACTGAGTGCGTTAGAAGAACGTCTACATTACCATTTATTTCTACCTAATAGGCTAACCATTCCAGGCGACAGCTCGACATGATTGAGGCCAGTTTCCATGAAAATAATGTGACTCGTCACAAGCGGTCAATTCGACAATGTAAATCCACGATGGGAGAACAATCGGCTTTTCTACTCCTTTGATGCTGCCATACGTAAGAGAATGACACTTTGTTTTAGTTGGTAGCC